GAACTGTAAAATTCCCTAAGTCAAGGGCTTTGGATCAGACAGACCTGTTCGGATTCCAGCTCTGCCGTGGAGCTTCACCTCTCTGGCCAACGGTGTCTTTGCCTGCTAAATGAGAATGACAAAAATGGACTCTCCTCCAGGGCCATCGGGGATTAGTGAGGTCAAGTATATAAAGCACCTGCCCAGGGTAGCCAGTGGGGCCATTTCTGTGGCTTCTAAGGTCCGTCCTCCCCACCTCTCCTCTTTCCCCTCCTCCTTCTCCCCTCCCAACCTCCTCCTCACCTTAGGCAGCTTGCTCAGGTCTAGGCCCCACTGTTGCCAGCTTTCTGGGACTTAGTAAAATATTTCTGATTGGAATCTGTCCATGCCACTTGTCTTGAGGACTTTTGTCTTTTATGGTATTTCAATGTTCCCAGCACTTGGGGGCTGGTAGCAGCTCAACTCCAGTTCTTGTCAAGGATAAGCCTGGCTCCCTCTGCCCTGTAAGTGTCCAAGTTTCCTGTCCAAGGTCACTGTTCCTGCAGGCATCCTCCAGACTCACCCTTCATTTACATGATGTTTATATTATGCAGCCCTAGAAACAGGAAGCTGGGCAGAGGGTTTATGGCCCCCTGAAGAGACCTCAGAACTAGCACAGGTGCCCTCAAGGAAAAAAGATCCCTCCATTAATTAATGACCATAGGTAGGGGCTAGAGAGATGACTCAGTTGGTAAAATGCTTGCCACACAAGCATGAGGATCTGAGTTGGATCCCCAGCACCCTTGTAATAGTTGGATATACCTGTGGAGATGGGAGGATCCCTAAGGCTTGCTGGCCAGCCAGTCTAGCCAAATCAGAGAGCTCTAGATTCAATGAGAGACCCTATCTTAAGAAATAAGGTGAATGATGTACACCTTTAAACCTAGTACTCAGGAGGCAGACGCAGGTGGATTTCTGTGAGTTCAAGGCCAGCCTGGTCTACATAGTGAGTTCCAGGCCAGCAAGAGCTATATAATGAGACCCTGTCTAAAATTAAAAAAAAAAAATGTGTACAGCATTTGAGGAAGACACCAGACATTGACCATTAACCTCCACATGCACGTGCATATACACACGTACACATACATGCAAACACATTTTTTTTTTTGGTCTTTTTGAGACAGGGTTTCCCTGTAGCCCTAGCTGTCCTAGAACTCACTATGTAGACCAAGCTGGCCTTGAACTCACAGAGATCCGCCTAAGGCATGCACCACCACGCCCAGCCCTCAAACACATTTTTTAGAAATAGTTAAGTGATAGAAGTACTATGATATGAGGTACAGAGAGCCAGGGACTCCTGGAACAAGGGATTCCAAACGGCCCCCTAAACTGTCCCTACTGCCTCAGTCACCCCTGCTATCCATGTTTCTCAGCCCCTCTACCACTGTCTCCTTCCCTCCCCCACATGCCCATCTGCCTCTATCTGCTTTCCTGCCTAGCACCCACCTACCATCTCCTGTGGGATGAAGCCCCTACCCACCATGGCTAGCTTGAAGTTGCAACAGCCATGTACCCTTTGGCCCCTTTATTCTCCTCCATCTAACTGTCTGGAGTTGGTAAGGACTGTACTGCTGTGGGAACTGTTGGATTTTTCCCATTAACTCTCTGGGTCAAGGACCACAGGCAGGTATGTGGTCCTGCTGTGGTTATTGAGGCCCTTTACCCTGTGTATCCTAGCCTTTATACCATGTCCCAGCTGCTCCTAGGGATGGGGCTGATGCTGGTGAGGATCTAGCTCTGGGTAAGGTCGAAGTCCTGCACTAACTCTGGGTACCCTTCTAAGCCCATGCTAGAAAGTGACTCCCTGGATCAAATCAACATAGAGCTGACCTATCTCCTGGGGTGGGGCCATCTGCTGGTCTGTGCCATTCTATCTCCCTTGGTCTCAGGGCTGAGCTCAGGGCCCTTCCAGGGGACAGGGCAACTGGAACAAGTCCAAGGGACTGTTGAAAGTGTGAGACATCAGGGACCTGCCATTCAGGAACTGTTGCACAACAGGGCCTCCTTTGGGGTTAGAGATAGGCTGTCCTGGCAGCTTGACCAGCCTCTGCCATTCTGGGATTCTGTCCTCATTGCACCAGAAACCCCTTACAGCTCATTTTCCTTCCTCGCTCTAGACAGGATTTAGACTGCACAGGAAGACAGAGAAGTAGGGGTAGCATGGGCAATGATGGGGCAGTGGTAGTCAGCCTGGACTGAGACCCAACGTCTACCAGAAATGGTCCAAAGAGGCTTCAAATGCAAAAAGATGCTGTAATAGGGCTCCAAGGCACACACAGCTGCTGGCAGAAGTGTGGAAGAATCAAACCTAGACTCTAATGCTCTACTCTTGAACACAGAATTGGGCATATACCTTTGTTGAGTGTCCTCTGCACACAGACATGATGCTTGGGGAGACAGCAAAGGAGCTGGCTGTAACTGTGTTCTATCAGTGGTGCCCTGATGTCTGGGCTTCTCTGTTATCACCTCCAGGTTTGAGGCTGAGGTGTTAGGGAGGACAGGATGACTGGGGGAGGGAGTTGAGAGGAGAGTATGGAGTCAGGACTTGGACAAATTCCAAAAGAAAGAGATTGTCTACTCAGGAATGAAAGCTGATGGCTTTAGACAGCGCTGGCAGGCAGATCTAGCAGGGAGAAAATGGGGGCAGGGAGGGGACTGAGATTACTTCCTCAGAGTCCTGATGATCTTAAACAATAGCAGTAGTGGCAGTACTACAGGGTCCTCAAGGCATGAATTATGTTTTGTTGGTTGGCTTGTAAGGTGAGGACTGCCATTCTTAGTTAATATATTGAACCAGAGGTGAGTCAGAGTTGGATGACTTTTGACAGAATTTCAACTTAAGTCTTGCATCATCTGTTGGGGACTTTAGGATGTAGCTGTGACACTGGGAGATCACTTCCCTCTGCAGGGCCATAGCTCAGCCCAATAGCCACATAGGCTTCGAAGTGTACCCTGGACCTTGGAGAGGGCACCCCAGGCTTCCAAAGGAGACATGTCAGGAGACTAACTTGGTCCAGCCTCAGATCTTAGGAATAACCTTGGCAGGTGAGTCTAAGGCGTAAGAACTTCATCCTTTGGCCCTGAAAAAGCCAGGCAGCTGTGCCCCCTACTGACACAAGTAAGCTGAATGCTGCTTCAGCAGAGTAGCCCAGACCACTGCTACTATGCACCCAAGTGGCTGTGAGCTGTGGTCCAAGTCAGAGGAAAGGGGGGCAGGGATCTAATACCTCAAGGCCTGAGAAGGATGGTCATGGAAGGTGGGAGCCCTGGCTTTACCACTCAGTCCTATGGCCAAAACTGCTCTCTCTTGTCTTTGATCCTTGGTTTCCTTAACAGTAAAGTGCAGACAGCCTGCATTTCCTCATAACCTCCAGACTCTGACTCTTCTATTCCTTTGCCTCTATCGCTGAGGACCTCAGTCCAGAAGCAGAGCGTGGAGCCTATGGAACACCCTGCCCTGGTGTCCACTCAGGGCTCTGTCCTCCTTGGCCATACAACCAGGCCCTGCCACTCATCCCCTAATTGCCATGGCTCTGTAGGAAGGAGCGACTTCACCACAAATTATTTTGTTCTAAGAGAAGGACAAAAAGAAAAGAGAAGCCGGGAGGGATGGGGGTTGGCAGGAGGAAGAGATTGCCTGAGCCTGCTTTATGCACTTGCTTTAACCCTTGGACTGCCAGGCACTGGGCAGGCAGCTGGGGAGGGGATCTGCCAGCCCCCAGCCCGTCCTCCTGTCAGATGACAGAGTCCTTATCTCCCACCGTCTTCTGTCACTCTCTGACCTTATCGCTCCCTGCCTGTCTGTTTCTCATCAGCTGCCTCTGCCACCTCTTTATTGCCCCTCATCACCAGTTCTTTCTGTTTTCATGGCCCCACCACCCCCCACTTCTGCATAGACTGGTGCCATGGCTCAGTCATGGCAGCCAGCCTGCTACCTCTAGTGGTAAAGGAGCCAACTTGGGGTACAGACCTCCTGGGGTCACTTGAATGGATACATGGAATCAGTCAGGCTTGGAGACACACATGGGTGTATAATGCATACATACGCATGCACATACCCAAGACTCCAAGCACAAACAAAGACACCTACAGAAATCTGCTTCTGACACTCACATACAAACCCCCATGCTGTGTCTAGAGCACCTAGCCTCACCCATCCCAATCCCAGAGTGCCGGAACATGCTTGTAGATGGCTATGTGAGTCATGTCACACATTTACACACTGTCAATTTATACCACTTGTGTGTGTGCTCAGACTCCACCTCCTGAGGAGAAGGAATGGGTAGATTAATTCCCCCTTCCTGGTTTCTGCATCCATATTATGTGCCCTGAATGGCAGAGAAGCCCCAAGGGGCTCCCAGAGCTCTCAATAGTTTCTACAGATAGCCTAGGGCAGCACCAGCAAAAAGGGCACATGCCTGAGGCCATGTAGAGGGGTGGCTGTGTATATGCACACATAAGAGATTCATGTGTGGGTATGGACATGTGTGGGTGTGTACATGTGTGAGTATGAGAGTATCTTTATGTTTGGGCTGTGACTGAATGACATGTGCTTTTCAGCTCCATCCCCGCCACCATACACCCTGCCTTCTGCCTCCCATCCAGTCCACCTCCCCCTCTGCTGCTCATAGCTACTTTGAGCTATCAGTGCTATCAGAGGCTACCACTCATGGTCCCTGAAGGGGGGGTCCCTGAGGTCCAGTCAAGGCAATTATAACTTGGACCCATCAACCACCAACACTGGCCACCAACTATCCCACATTGGATACTCATCCCAGATGCAAGCTATAGAGCCCCAACCTTGCTCTCCCCTGAGACTTCAGTTTTAGCAGTCCATGAGGCCCTGGACTCTGTGCTTGCAGGGACCTAAATCAGGGCCCTATCGGGGTGAGGAGCTGAGTTATGCAGAGGGACTATGAGGGGCCATGACATGGGCGTGATGGACTACCCTGGCCTCACCCCCAGTCTCTGCTTCCTTCCAGATCTACAAGGACAATCGGAACCTGTTTGAAGTACAGGAGAATGAGCCTCAGAAATTGGTGGAGAAGGTGGCAGGGGACATCGAGAGCCTGCTAGACAGGAAGGTGCAGGCCCTGAAGGTAGGCCAGTATGTTGGGGGAATGGGGACATTAAAGAGAGTCAGGTGGAATGGTGCTGACTGAGGGCAGTGTTCCAGCCATCCATTGTCACAGAGCCCTTGGCTGTCTGAATTTTGGCAGGGAAATCAGCAGCAGGGCTGTGCCTATGGGACTGTGGGCACCTGTGGCCACACAGTTTTATTTGGGGTCAGCTGCATGAGGGTAATCTGAGTCTCAGACCCAGGCCATCTTGCCTTTCCTTCCTGCAGGGCCTGGAATTTTCTTATTCCTCTTGGTCTCCTGGTTTGTCTGTGGGTGGCAAAGTGAGCACCTGGTCAGAAGTGACCTATTGTAGAGTTTGCCCCTAAGTGGGCAAATCCCTGCAGGATCTGATGGGGAAGGAATGTTGAGGAGCCATGGATTCCCCACAAAGGCAGCAGTAGCCATATAAAGCCTGCCTGCTCTGTTCCTTCTGGGCCTCCATCTTCCCATCTATACTTAGAGAGGTTGCAGCTTGAGGCACTGGGGTTCTAAGGGTAGCAGGACCTGCCAGGCTAGCCTGACAAAGCAGGCAGATAGACCCCTGTTACTCAGTCCACTCCAGGGACAGCAGGTAAGGAGGGCTTCTCTGGAACTACAGAGTGCCCTAGTCAGTTCATTCATAAGTAATAGGCAAGAGGCATCCATTCTGCCCCCAGATCAGAGGCACTGCTGTAGCCCCCACCCAACCTATGTGGAAGATAGCAACATCAGTACCAAAGGAAGAAATCTTCATAGACCCTACAACATGGATGGACTCAAACACATCTGCCAAGTGAAAGAAGCCAGTGACAAAGGCCTCATTTGATCCTGTTTCTGTGAAATGTCCAGAAAAGGCAAATTCATAGAAATGGAAAGTGAGCTTACTGGTAGCCAAGGGCTATAGGGAAGGAGATAGGGCAGGGGCTCCTGATAAAGACAGGGTTTCTGGGGCTGGAGAGATGGCTCAGGGGTTAAGAGCACTGACTGCTCTTGCAGAGGACCTGGGGTTCAATTCCCAGCACTCACATGGCAGCTATGAACCATCCTTAACTTCAGTTCCAGGGGAATCTGAAGCCCTTTTCTAACGTCCGAGAAATTGCACGACACAGGTGCACTCACATACATGCAGGCAGTATACTCCTACACATAAAATAAAAATAATAAATAAAATATTTTGAAAAGACAGGATTCTGCCGGGCGTGGTGGTGTATGCCTTTAATCCCAGCACTCAGGAGGCAGAGGCAGGCAGATCTCTGTGAGTTCAAGTTCAGCCTGGTCTACATAGTGAGTTCCAGGACAGCTGGGGCTACAGGGAGACCCTGTATAAAAAAGACAGGGTTTCTTTTCCTCAAATATTCCAAAATTAAATTGCCGTGGTAGTTGCACATCTCTATACTAAGAGCCATTGAAATGTATGTTTTATGTGACTTGATTTGCTATTAAGTCTTAATAAAATATAAGCACATTTGTCCACAACTATGGCTAGGGTCAAGTCAAGGCAACTACTACAGCCCAGATCCCCAGGGTCCAAATCATCCCAGAAAAGAATAGTCCCTTTCTCCTGTAGCTGGACCCTGCTGTACCTCACAGGGTCTTCTGCTTGTCTCTGTGTGATCAAGCATCATGGTAGAGAGTGGAGCTGGCCTCTTGAGGCTAGGGGTCCAGAGAAAGTAGGCTCTGAGGACCCAGTGTGGACCCAGCAAGCCCAGAGCTGTACCTAGAGATCTCAGTCTCACCTGACCTTGGGGATCTCCTGGTCACAGATGTGGGGAGTCAGTTGGAGGCAAAGCCAGTCTTCAGCTGTAGGTCAAAATGTCAGTTCCTAGTTGTGTCAAACCATGTGTTCACCCACCCAGCCAGCATATCACACCTACCCGCTGCCTCTCCCAAATATGCCTCATCCTCATTCTAGACTCCTGGTTAGCACACTGCTTCCTAGATTTGCTGCCCTCTCCCAGGTTATAGAATATGGCTGCCTTGCTCAAACATTTTTTTAAAAGATTTGTTTATTTTTATTTTTTGGTCTTATTGAGATAGGGTCTCCCTGTAGCCCCAGCTGGCCTAGAGCTCGATATGTACACCAGGCTGGCCTCAAACTCACTGAGATCTGCCTGCCTCTGCCTCCGGAGTGCTGGGATTAAAGGTGTGCATCACTACACCTGGCAAGATTTATTTATTTTTTAATTATGTGTATGTGTGTGTCTGTCAGAGTAAGTTCCCACAGAGGCCAGAGACCTTGGATCTCCTGGAACTGGAGTTATAAGTGGTTATGAGCTGCCTAATGTAGGTGCTGGGAATTGAACTTGGGTCATCTGCAAGTATAGTTATGTATTCTTAACCACTGAGCTATCTCTCCAGCCCCACTCAAACCTTTTTTTTTTTGAGAAACGGTCTCACTGTGTAGCCCAGGCTGGTCTCAAACTCCCAATCCTTCTACCTCTGCTTCCTGAGCTAAGACTATAAGCATGTACCACCATAGCAGGCTTGGTAGTCCAAATTAGTATTGATATCTGGTACATGGATGGAAGGGACATCCTCAGGCCTTTAGGCTGTCACTCCCAGACTTCAGGACAGATTGCCTCAGCAGAGGCAGAGCTATGCTGAGTGGTGGGAGTGACAGCCTCCCAAGCCCCTGCCATGTTCCTCAGGAACCACAGACTGGAGTCATTCCCTGGCCCCTTAACCCAACACTAGAGGAGCAACCAATCCTAACAGCAGATGAGATGGGGCATGACCCAAGACTTAGACTCTTGATCCCAACTGTTCCCTCTGTACCCTGCATATTAGACCCTGCCCCAGGAGACAGACAGACTGCCTCAGCCCATTCCCTGGTACACACACAGTCAGTGCCAAATACAAAGGGAATTTTAGTGGGAAAATGATGGAAAAGGCACCCACCGACTTGGCACTCAATATGTGGTGAGTCTACCCTGAGTCATTCTCACAGTAATCCCAAAAGGAAATCTCTGCTACTTCATCTTGCAGAAGGGGCCACTGAGGCTTGGAGGTCCCAAGCATCAGGAAAGGATGCAAGAGAACCAGGATTTAAACACAGGTCTTTCTGACCCTGAGCCAGGCCTGTGGCTCCCCACAATTCCCACTTTGACTACAACTTTTACCATCCTCGGCACTCTCCTGGCCAGTGACCTCCTTCTGCTCCAGTGAGCCTGATTCCAGACTCATCCTACTTTACCAGAGGAGGGAAGGTCTACCTACCCTCTTGTTTGGGACGTTCAAAGTGAGCTTTGATCTTCATTATGTTTTAAATTTGCTTTTAATCAAGTTTCTTCTTTTCTACATTTGTGTGCAGCCTGAGTGCACATGAGGGGAGGGCTGTTGGGGGTCTGAACTCCCATCCCCCACTCCATTGTTCCTTTCCCCCTGGACCCTTTCCCAATAATCCAATTTAAATCCATTGCTCCAGTCTGGAATTTTAATTTGGGGCTTACAGAGAGGGAACTGAGTAGTGCGGGACAGAAATTCATTGTATCATCCAATCGGAGCTAATCAGATTTTTCTCCGGGCTGTGCAGGTGGATCTGGGGCCAAGAGTCAGGTAAAATTAGGCCGGATCAAGGCGTTGCAAACACAGGCGAGCAGCATCCCCAGGTCCAGGAACAAGGTTAGGCCTTTAGCTTTGGACATGTAGAGGGGACTCTGTCTTAGACCTTCAACTACCCAAGAGATGAAGCCTTTGAGCCAGGACTCTTAGGATCTTTAGCCCCAGAGGAGACAAGAAGAAGGTGCCTTGGTTGTTATGGTACACCATGGGAACTTGAGCAGTGTTGAATCTCAATCAGCATGTCCTCATCTTCTCAACTGGGGCCTTGGCACACAGCCCCTTTCTCAGAATGTCATCTCTTCATGGTAGTCACCAATGTTCACTAATGGCCAACTATGTGACAAGCCCAGTGCTGGTGCTGAAGGTACAACAGGAAAGGACAGGCCCTATTCTTGCCCTCATATGCCCTCAGACCATTCCAGCTCAGGCCCTGATTTCTACCTCTGTGCCTATAGTCACAGCTGCTCAGGAGGCTAAGGTAAGAAAGAGGATTGCTTGAGTCCAGGAGTTCAAAGCCACCTGGACAACATCGAGAGACCCTAACATAAATAAAGATGGGGGCTGAGTACCCTCCCTACCCCAGTACCTGTGGTTTCACAACTCCAGGAGCCGTCGTTCATAAAGGCCATAGTGTGGACAGTGCCTTTGAAGGCTGTTCTGCCTTCAGGTCCATCCCTGGCACCTTTGTTCTATGACTAAGAGAAAAGGCCAAGCCAGGCGTGGTGGTGCACACCTGCAGGTGGAGGCAGGTGGATCTCTGTGAGTTCAAGGCCTGCCTGGTCTCCATAGTGAGTTCCAGGACAGCTGGGGCTACAGGGAGACCCTGTCTCAAAAAGACCCCCCCCCCAAAAAAGAGAGAAAAGGCCACAGGACACTCTCTTGGATGAGGTGAGGGTTGATCCCAGAGGCAAGGTCAAGGGCACTGCGGGTTTGGTTCCCAGAGAATGGGAATCTCAGGGCCAGGGCAGCGGGCCAAGGCACTCAGGCCAAGCAGGTTCCTGAGCACATCAGTGTGGAAGCCAGCAGCCTGCTCCAGGGAGGTCCCTTTGCCCTCCAACTCAGACAAGCCAGGGGCAGTGTTAAGGCCTTGCAGAGATGCCCGAACCTAGAACGTCAGGTCTGGACATGGGTGCTGCCCCTCCTACCATGCCCACTTATGCCTACTCCCACTCAGATGCAGCCCATTGTCCCAGGGGTCAGGACCTTTCCATGTACCTTTGTCCCCATGTAGTGCTTTTAAGCTCAGGTTACATGTTAAAAGCTAAACTTACTCGGGAGGCAGACGCAGGCAGATCTCTGTGAGTTCAAGGCCAGCCTGGTCTACATAGTGAGTTCCAGGACAGCTGGGGCTACAGGGAGACCCCGTCTCAAAAAGACCCAAAAAATAAAAATAAAAATAAACTTGCCCCCTCAGATGGCAGAAACTATTCTTCCACTTG